TAATTATTATTTCACCTTTTATTTAGCCACATGACACTTGATTTCAAAATATTTGTAATTAGGTATTATGACAATCTATATCTGTTAATAAAAATATGATCGAATTATCCGGCTCATTATTCACGTACTTCGATTTATTATAACAAACATATGTAGTTAATCGAGATCTAGTGTCAATTAAAACATTGAACTAATTCAGAATAATTTAATCACACTTTATTTTTAGATCCCCTATCAATGTGCCCTCAAATATTTTCACCGAATTTTCCCAGCTTATCATTTTAATTGATTGTGTTTCTCTAAATAAACCAATTAGGCGTATTTTCGGTAACCTCTCGCTAAATATAAATTTAAGTTTATCGGTATCTGCAGGTACAGAAATGTCATTGTACGAAAATAACTGGCTGATTAATTAAATGTTTGTATCACAACAGCTTACTCACTTAACTGCTTCACGAGTTATCTCGAGTAGTTTCAAGGTACGGTAGGGGCTCATATTCGTGAGCAGTATTGTCGTCGTGCAACCATATCGTAAAAGTAAGCCGTAAGACATAATTACTTGAAATGTCTCAGAAAGTTATAGTTTATGTTTTCTAAGATTATTGTTACTTTCAACAGACCTTCGTTTTTATTTTATTACTTGTGGTTCTTAGGTTCTCTTTTTTCTCAAACATTTTTAATTTTATCTAAAAACAGATAGAAGGAGATAGAAACCCGAGATCTCGTTTTCAAGTCAGACATGGTCGTTGTTTTTCTGTGCAGGCTTGCAGTCTTGAAACTAGATATTATTCTCAATATTCAATTGTTTGTTAGTGTAACGATACTATTTGCAACTAACAATTTGCCTAGTGAGTAAGAATTTACGTAACAGTCGTTTTGAAACAATATTTAATGTATGTAAATGCAAATTAACTTTCAAGAAACCAGAAAAATGAATATAAAACTCAAACTACAATTATTCGCTTTCGCACTGCTCAATGAGATGTTTTCCTGCAGATTATAACAGACACTTGTGATTGTTTACTTTCATCATTCCTATTTGTTTGTCTGTTTGAAATTACGTCAGGGTACCAACCTTTTGAGGAGCTCCACAGCCTTGTTCCGCAACATGATGGCAATGTGACTGCACTCCTGTTAACTCACTGAACCATCGTTATCTACAAGACCGCGTTAATGTATCACTCGCGATCGCGACTCTCACTGCTCCGCGCACTAACCAACGGTATTGCAAACTTTTTCTTTTATTTTCGTAGTTATAAACTATCACATTGTTGAGATGCGGTTGTCACGAAAGTTGGCAGCCGTTTGAACTGAGTGGCCGGCTTGCCTGGCAGACGGGAAAAGTGCGACCACGTGACGACAACAATAGCAACGGACACGCATATAATGATAATTGTACGCTGAGGTCACAGGCCAGCGATAACCGACCCTCGATACATTCACATCGAGACGCAGATCTTCACTGATACAGGGGTCTTTGAAGACGTCTCTAGACGACTTTTAACATAAATACGAATACGTATTATGTATTTCTTTGTTGGAAAATAGATGAAAATTCTATTGGAAAAACTTAACCTATCGGCTAGATGCTCCTCATTCAAGTGCCAGGTAATTCAGTAAACATGGCCTTAATGTTACAAATTCGATGCAGTTTATTGTTATTTCAATACTGGATATTTACATGGCAGTCAATTTAGTAGAAAAAAAAGTATCAATGAATGGATTTCACTTTTTGTATGACGACGCAATAAATTGTAATTTAAACGCCTTAGCCACAAGCAAGGCTTTAGCAAATCAAAGATAACATTAAATGGATTCTATTAAGTTTCTTAAAGATTTAGGTACCTATGTATAATATTTTAATACATGTCAGTTTTTTAGTTGTCTCTACTGTAGAAAAAATAAAAACAAAATCGCAAGTGACGCTGGAGTCGTACAAACATCAAGAACTACGATAATGTTATAACTAAACAAGCTGTTATTTGCTCACACCAGTTACTAATACACCAACTAACTGACGTACTTACCTTATAACGATTTAAAAACGTGTCATTCTCCTTTGAGATCAACCTTATTTACGTTAAAACATATCATGAATATTCCTCTACGAGTGTTACTGATTTCTAATGTATTGATGATGTTCCTTTGACGTGATGATTCCGATTACAATGTGTATGTAGGATTGTAAGCCTAAGTAAATGTCTAAGAGTACATGTGTGTGAAAGAGTGAAAGGATGGAACGATCGTAGGATTCGAGGTGTGTGCTCTGTGCCCTTTTTTTGTGAGGGGAAAATCATCAAATGTCTTCTCCCGCCCAGGGCCGGGCAGCAGGGAGTGTCAGACTCTTACTGACTAAAAACCCCCCTGTTCCTTCTCCTGCTCTGTGCCGAGGTCGCGGTACCTCATTGCGCTTACCCCGCAACCCCCTGTGCTCGGTATTATTGGGAAAAGAAAAGACTAACAAAACTACTTATTTTCTTTGTCTCCTCAATCCTACATGTATAAAAGTGCAAAAATTACTCACCTAGACTTAAGATGTGGTGTCAGCGGAGCCGTCAGCGAGGCGGCCCATCAAGTAAATCGCCAATAATAGTCTTCTTCTTTAATTCGAATGTCTATTTTATACTTTTGACAAATTCTAATTTAATACGAATATCTAGGAAACTGTGTCATGCAGTTGATAAGACTAAACAACAAAATAGTGTGGTGTCGCCTTAACTCCTTAATTAATGTTAATGCCTACTACAGACACGTGCTGTATTTAGTTTTCTTAGACCATTTACTCAGATCAAATTAAAATCTTAATTCCATACGACGTGGTGGTTGGCTACAAAAACAAATCTTCATGCCTTTTGTTTTGCTTATTGAAAAACCAATTAAGTACTTACCCGATCCAAAAATTGAACATGAAACTCTCGGTTGTTCAGTCTTCAGCCGCACTTGCGACCATTCGACCATCGAGGCAATCTTATAAGCTGCAATACTGCAATCATTACTTTATTGATATTTATAGCCACTTTCACTTGATGCTTACAATGTTCAACGGTATTGTATTAACATAAAAGTCTTTACTTATCTCGTAAAAAGTAGTCAGACCAGCAGTTAAGAATAAAAAGGATTTTTCTTCATTGTTTTGTTGAAACTCATTTACCTTGCTGGCTATAGAAAGTTAAAGATTATTTTTAATAATATGTATACATAAGTGGAACGTACTGACATTAAATCGGGATCAGAGTTTGTTTCAGCATCCACCCCTAAAGGTCGATGCCGGAGTAAGTCAAGCTAAGCGGAAGCTATTGGATTATTTTGTGATCTGTCTAAGACTTTTGATTGCTTGACACTGCTACTGAAACTAGATCACTACGGCATTCAATTCATTTAAATCACACCACACAAACAAGTAAATAAAGTGCTAGCATATCTATGGACGTACTACGGGGCTCAATATTTTAAAGTATAATTAGTTTTTAGCATGAAACGGGGATGATGTTATTTAATGATAACATCGCATTAATATTAAAATAGACTAATGAAGAAACATGACGTAAATGTTATCATGGAGGTTCAAAATTGGTTTAAATAAAATATTTTTGTAGGTAACGACAAAAAGAGAAAATTCGTATAATTAATGTTTAAAATAACGAATGTATTGATATTGTTTAATGTACAATGCAAGCCACTTAATGGTTTTAGCGTATGACACAATATTTTTATTGCTTTTTTTACTTTCACATCACATCTCTGTTGGGACTATTGCTGTGTTTGCTGTATGGAAGATCCAATAAATCGACCTTTTTATTGGACTTGGGGTATTATTCTAATAAGTTAATTAATTACGTATTTATCTATAGACAAGTTACCTTTATTTCCCGCATTCCGATATGGTACTTAAAATTCACAATAAATCACAATGATTACCTTCAGATTACAAACACGCACTGTTTACCTATTTCCTTATATCTAGGTAAATTACTAATCACCTTACGTTAACAAAAGTATCTTTATATTCTAATGCAGTATTGAAGCTGATTAAATAAATTATTTCCAAGAATAACTTTGAAAACGGTGAATAGTTTCTTGTTGTTTTGTGAAACGTCAAAGTCAGATACGCGATGACCTTAGATATATTATGGGTTGATAATTCTCTGAAAACCTTAACATTAAAAAATATGCAACATAAACTTAATAAATTCCCCTCCCGGGTTGTGAAGCCCGTAAGTATCATATTATCATCAATATTTTCATTAGATTGTAGCACTATTTATTTATTTATCATGAAAGAACTGATTCTGTGTCTCTTGTTTTGACAATGTTAGGCTCGTCACGGTTCTAACACAATGTCGTAAAGTACAAAAAAAGAACAAAGCAAGTAAAAGTTAAGAAATCTGTACTGTTTCAATTATTTTCGCATGAAAACTGAGGGACATTGACCGCTACGGTTTAGTTGCGTTGCTACTTGCGTAGCTTTCAACAAAACAACTGATTGTTATAATTTCGTAAGCGTCACTTAAAACAATATGGTACGGAATACAATAAAGAGGGTCAATACCTTAATCATTCAACTGTGTCACATCTACAAATTATTTGCGAAGGATGATTGGCAAACTGTTGCGCCACTGTCGCGCGAGGCCGGCCTCATGGTGTGCACTCATTGTTCAACGGAAACTCGACCTAGTGACGTATCCAATACTGTTTATAGAAAGTTATATTTATTTTACATTGAATGCTGACTTCTTATTTTTATCTCTTCCAGAATCTGACGACCTGGTAGTTGGTACCAGATAATTTAAAACTCAGATCCAATCTGTTATATTAATGCTTCGATGATCTCTTATATACTTAGAATAAATTACGCAATCATATTGAATTAATTAATTTGCCCTTCAATGGCTATAATTATATCATTTAGGTATAAAGATTTATTTCTTTTTAACTACGGCATCCATGTCATATGGGCATAACGCTTACTTAAATGCCGTTTTGTTTAATTTTGTTAACAGGCCGCACCTACAACGACTTGAATCAATACCCGGTCTTCCCATGGATTCTCACAAACTACGAGAGCGAGGAGTTGGATCTGAGCCAGCCCTCCAACTACAGGGATCTTTCCAAGGTAACAATACCTCCATCTAAGCCCCTTGCCTTTATGATTTCCTGGTGCTTACAGTTTGTGTACGAGATAGGTAGGTAAAGGAAATATTTCAAAAGGGCGTCAGTCGTCTTCTATACAGACTTGAAACTGCATTAGACTCAAACTTGTAGTATTTTAATACGTTTATGGCTGAAATGATTGATTTTAGAGATTTTGAAACTATATCGGGTTTTCTTTTGTAAGCGTGTTTTTAGTAAAATATTAATTTAACATTTTATGTTTGATTCCAGCCCATCGGTGCGTTGAACCCGAGTAGGCGCGCATACTTCGAGGAGAGGTACAACACGTGGGAGCACGAGTCCACGCCGCCCTTCCACTATGGAACTCACTATTCTACAGCAGCATTTGTTCTCAACTGGCTAGTTCGCATTGTAAGTATAATTATATCATATCGATAAAAATACCCTTTATAAGTAACAGAAGGACTTATCTATCATTATTTTCATGGTCCGTTTAGACATTTATTTTTTAATTATTTATTAGTTATTACCAAGGATTCAGAAAAAATAAATCTTGCTCGATCATAAAAGGCAGTCTCCAGCTCATAAAATAATGTGAAGATACTTTTTACATTTAATGAACGTATTAAATGATGTGCAGTGAAACTGAAATGCAGCGCGTTTCAATGTTGAAATTAAATAGTAATTAAGTGTTGCCAGTAACAGCGCGTGTATGATTTATCACAAACAAACGGCACATCAATTTGTGTGCTTCACACCACATTTGGCGACAAGATTAAATGTCACGCGTACGATACTGATCATTATACAGTCTCATCACTCGTAATAATTTCTCTTCGTCTGTTTTTCTACCAATTTATATGAATTATTTGTAAATGACGCCGCGGCTTGTCCTTTATCGATACTCAGTAGATTATAAAATTAATAAGCAAGTGATTGTGTAGATTATTCAGTCCTTACTCAATAAATTCTAATTACCCTAGTCAATAAGTATATCTTTAGACCTCGCCGCGATCTACGGGAGAAACCATTACCTAGTCTTACTGAACAATTAAACAGCATTCTGAGATTAAGACAGGAACGAACAATGTAATTGATTTATCTCGTACAGTTCATGGTCTATTAACGCGTCGGTAACTAAATAATTACCCGTTATTTATAGTACGGTATTGTTTGTCTGCTCGTAGTTTATAGTATAGTAGTAAGGCACGCCACCGTCACAAGTTTATCATCTGTTTAATAATTCAATTACTGAAACTACACAAATACAACAATTCTATCTAATGTTTTTTCGTTCAATTGCACAGATTCTTGCACTTCCATTTATATGGAACAACTTGAATTTACAGCTTGTCAACTAGTTATTTCAAGTCGCGCTCTCGGAGTGTGTAAGTCTTTGTACAATAGCCGCGTGGTGCTATAAACGAAGTCTTCAAAGAGGAACATTTTGCTACCGATCATAGTAAATTAGTGAATGCATTAAGATGTCTGCACTAAATGTGGGCACGTCACAACAATCGAGCGCCGCCGGCGATGCGACGCGACAGATGCACGTGCGAGTGCATGCGGCAAAAAAGTTAAAATGTTAAAAGATGACCAAAATAGAATTTAGTTTATTTAGTAACAAAACAATAATGGAAGTTGTTACTCGACGTTTGGACAAGTTGAAGTGCATTGTTTAATATGTTCCCATTAGCATATAAAACTACATGTATGAAATGAAATGTTTTTTTGTCGGGGAAAATTATCAAATGACTTCTTTCGCCTAGAGTGCGGCCAGGTGGCAGACTGGACCAGATGCTATGAAAAGCTCATAACATCTGGTCCAGTCTTACATTATAATGCTTAACCTTGAAACCCGGAGGTACAATAGAGGCTGGTATTACAGACATTATGACCAATTTCTCTTTTTGTCCCAACCAGGAGCCGATGACGACTATGTTCCTTGCGCTTCAAGGCGGCAAGTTCGACCACCCCAATAGACTATTCTCATCAATTGCCATGTCATGGAAGAATTGCCAGCGAGACACCTCTGATGTCAAGGTACGAGTGTGACATTTGTTTCCTTAAAGCTGTAAAAACATAATCAAAATTCGAATACTATGACCATAATGAAATTTTCTTCAGGAACTGATACCAGAGCTGTTTTTCCTGCCGGAGATGCTTGTAAACAGCTCAGGCTTCAGACTGGGTATCCCAGAATCTCCCTCGGGAGACGTCATCCTTCCACCATGGGCGTCTTCCGCCGAAGAGTTCGTGCGCATCAACCGAATGGCGCTAGAATCTGAATTTGTCAGCTGTCAGCTACATCAATGGATAGATTTAATATTTGGATATAAACAAAGAGGTAGGTTGTTGGACGATACTTTTCATGGCTCTTGGGCAGTGCATTAAAAACACTGCAGTTATAAAATGATTGCTAATATTTTTATGATTCTCAACACGTTTGCCAGGTCCCGAAGCGGTCCGTGCGACGAATGTATTCTACTACTTGACATACGAAGGCGGGGTCCGACTCGACCAGATTACGGAACCCGTTACCCGAGCAGCTATTGAAGATCAGATCCGAAGTTTCGGGCAAACTCCTGCGCAGCTTTTGAGCGAGCCTCACCCGCCCCGCGCGTCCACGATGCACCTCGCGCCACTCATGTTTGCAGCTGCCCCTGACGACGTGTGCTTGAGACTGAAACTACCCTCCAACGCTGCTGTAGTCCACGTGTCGGCGAATACCTACCCGCAATTGACTATGCCTGCCGTGGTTACGGTAAGTTTCCTTGTGTTCAATTTTATCTAAATTTATTAAACGAAACCCTACCTTATTTTTGCAAGATGCAAAGCGACAGTCTCCATATAACGTTTCAGGTCCAAAGTCATGGAAACTACTGAACTGATTTAAATTAATTTTTGTATCAATACGCAATAAATATATACAGATTAAAAACTCAATGAGATACGTTTTCAAAAGAGTTAAGAGAGACAGAATGATGCAAATCTAAAATTTTAAGTTTTTCAACAAGAACTTTGTCTTCCAAAACAAACAATTTAGATGAAGATTACTCAATTTTTTATTGTATTACTAAGTGCAAAAAATAGCGATTAGTATTATAAATGAAAAATGATATCTGGAAAATATCCACCACGACCACGATAGTCCATTCTTTCATCAGAGTTTTCAAACACTTTTCGGCCAAATGGCGGGTCTATTTCGTCAAGGACATCACCTATTTTATAGGTTAAGGCTGCTATCGATTAGATTGACTCCGTACAAATTCTGTCAATAAAATAGTCCTGCAAAAAATTTCGTAGCTGGCCACTTAACAGCTAAACTTTGTGTGACATTTGTCATCGTCCTGTTGAAACCACAACGATATCCACGCAATAATAGGCCAAAATCGAGTTGTTAAGTTCACGCGATACCGTGATCCATTGATCGTCACCGCATTTCCAGCGTACGTACATATACCTATATACACCACCGAAAACACGGCTCAATCACGCCTCATGCGAAAGATGCGAAGATTTTGCTTGTTGATGTACTCTGATAAGAGACAATGGGCCTCGTCTGAAAAAGGTTTTTTTTTCAGAAAACCCATCCGGTTGTGCCTAAATGAATTGAGCAAATCTACGGCTATGTGATCTAATGGTGACCTTATAAAGCTTTAAAGCAATTTTTTACGCAAAATTCGCCATGATTTTGGATAATGACAAAATCTTTAACACTGTGGCTTCCAACTGCGATATCTTCAGGTGAAGGACTAAATTCTTAATAGCGGTCCCAGAAGGACGATTATGTTCTTCGAAAATATTACGAATTTTACGAAATGTAACTTTAACAGAATTCATCTATTTTCAGATTGGATTTTAAAGATTTTAATTCAATTTTCAAGCGAAATTCAATTCATTGTCAAAGCCTACTAGGACTTGACAAAAAACGAAAACTGTCATGCTGTTGATTTTGTTCCAATTGAAAAACAAAGTTCTTGTTGTAAAACCCTTTAGTATTCATAATAAAAAAACATATTTATTTAATTTATAAGCAGCAATATACGATCGAATTGAGCACCCTGCTCCTTTAGTAAGTGGGTAAGTAAGGTGTGAGTGTCCTGCAGGTGAGCGCGGCGCGCGCGTTCGCGGCGCACCGCTGGCCGGGCGGCGGCTGTGCGCACGCGCCGCACGCACCGCACGCGCCGCGACACCCGCCCGACCACGCCCACCATCCACACCATCCGCTGCTCATGGACCCGGTCTGGGGTAACTACACCTTCCTTCTATTCTTACCTTTGCTCTTTTAACTAAGCCACATACATTTAAATCGCAACTAATTAATAATCTTACTGATTTTATGAGTACAAATTTGTAATATATTAAGTAGGTAACGCGAAAACTCATTATTTAACTACCTTGGAAGGCTTGACGTTCTCTGCTGTCGTATTTAAATAATTACTTTTTCTCTTATACCGGCTTAATAACATGTTTTTAACATGAAACGCAAAAGCTTAAAAGTTAGTACAAATGTAAGTATATAATGTCATCTTTCAGCGGCGGGTGGCGCTCAGGCCCTGGCTCGACGTCAGTTGGGCGACAACTTCTCGCAACGAGTGCGCGCGCGCAGCAATTGTTTCGTCACCACCGTAGACTCACGGTTCCTCATCGCTGCAGGATTCTGGGACAATAGCTTTAGAGTATTCAGCACAGAGACCGGTAAGATATCATTACAATCAAAATTCCGTTCTTTGTTTTTATTTAACAACTAGCTTCCGCGCGTGGCTTTGCACGCGAATAAAGTAATTTAAGCGGAATTTTAAAAACAGAATCATTGAAACTTACAGCTCGACTAAAATACGCAAATCAAATATAATTTATGGCCTATAATACTTCTCACATACATTATAGCTATGTATCTATCAGTAAAAGAATTTTAAAAATCCAACCAGCGTTTCCAATGATTACGGCCCCTACATACAAACTTACAAAGATTACCTCTTTATAATATTTGCATTGATGTTAATTACCTATGCTTTACTATGCTTAATTCTCAAAAATAACTAGGACACAAGAACAACCTGAACCGAATCCTCGACTGATTACACTGTTCGTAAACATTATTCACATTATTGCTTTATAACAAATAAATATTGTGTCTCCAGCTAAAATAGTACAAATAATCTTCGGCCACTACGGCGTGGTGACGTGCGTGTGTCGCTCGGAGTGCAACATCACGTCCGACTGCTACATCGCGTCCGGCTCCGAAGACTGCACCGTACTGCTTTGGCATTGGTACGTGGAATCATAAATTATTGTTCTTAAACTACTTGAATGTTTTATTGCAGGATTTTCAATGTAATAAAGTGCCAAATTGGACTATATTCATTTTTTATAGCTTCTTAAAATGTACACAAGATGGACTTAATGCATTGAGCATTGTCTACCAGTCTTTAATACTGCATGCGAGAATGAAGACAATACAGGAATGTTACAGTTGCAAATTTTTGTCTTGTGTAATAATGCGACACACGATACAGACCGATTATCTGATAGCAAGCAATCGGCGCGACCTCTAGTTAGCGTGCGAGGCCGTGGTCTTAATGATGATTTTTGTTCATTAGGTCTGCACGTCACGGTGGCATAGTGGGCGAAGGTGAAACTCCCGCGCCCCGAGTCACACTCACGGGACACGACGCGCCCATCAACGGAGTACTTGTCTCTGCTGAACTAGGCTTGGTCATTTCTTCGTCAGTCAGTGAGTATTAACTTATTTTGTAAAAGAAGTTCGAATGACAACATGAAAGAAGCGCAAAATTTCAATTGAGGATTGTTGACTATGTTATTGAATGCACACTCAATGCCAAGAATGGTGATAAAATGTAATTTCAATGAATTAAGAATATTTATAAAATGTGATCACTTTTGGATATTTTGTGTATTTAACTAGCTACTCTCGCGCGGTTTCACCCGCTGCTCAGCTCCTAAGATCGTAGCGTGATGCCTATAGCATGATTTATAGCCTATAGCATTCAGGAATATTGTAGTTATCTATCAGTGAAAGAATTTTGGAAATCCGACCAAAGATTACCCCTACATACAAACTTACAAATTTTACCTCTTTAAAATATTATAGTATAGATTAAATCAGCGATAGAAATGAATGATGTATTAACATTCTGTCCGCCCCAGACGGGCCGGTCCTGATCCACACGACATTCGGCGAAGTACTGCGCGCGCTGTCGGCGCCGGACGGCGTCTGCTCCCCGCAGCAGCTGGCGCTGAGCCGCGAGGGGGTCGTCGTCGTCGCGTACGCGCGCGGACATCTCGCCGCATACACGCTCAACGGTCGCAGGCTGCGACACGAGACGCATAACGACAACTTCCAGGTCTGTACATATAACATAGCAAGACAACAAATACCTACTTTCCAACTCTTTTATGAGATGATTAGCTAAGCTTTTTTCGAGTGGGAGGTTAATTCCGACGAAGAATTAGATGAGCTCTAAACGTTCTTGGTATGCTTAGGACTTAAGCAATCAGAGTCGCTCGTAGAAACTCGCAACACCAAAGTAATTATTGCAAGTGCGTTGTCGGCGTTTTAGGGGTTATGGGTTTGAGGACTTTGAGATATCCGGTACCTAACTCATACGGCTAATACGGTTGCTTTATGCGCGGTTTTCTGAGATCAAAGGGTTTCCCACACTTAAAAATCATTAACTTTCATTACATAATAATATACTTTATAGGGCAAGTGGGATGAATTAAGTCTGGAATGCCGCAGGGTCCTTTCTTCGGTCCAATGTAGTTTTAAGGTGTATTTTATGTGATGTGTAGCTAAATATGCCCGTCCCCGCAGTGCCTGGTGTTGTCCCGGTGCGGCGAGTACCTGGTGTGTGGCGGCGACGCGGGCGTGGTGGAGGTGTGGCGTGCCTTCACGCTGGCGCCGCTGTACGCGTTCCCGCCCGCCGGCGCGCCCGTCTGCTCGCTCGCACTCTCGCACGACCAGAAGTAACTATACTCCCTTATACTACTGAATTGTATATTGAATTTTGGTAAAAATACAATTTATTTTGACGTTACACTAGTAAATTATTATCAATCTACCTACCTACAAAAATTCAATCTGAAACATTTACACTTAATATTTTTTACTTCCACGTTTTCTAGGTTCCTGTTAGCTGGTCTCGAGAACGGCTCCCTGGTTGTATTCCACATAGACTTCAACAGATGGCACCACGAGTACCAGCAGCGGTACTGAACCTGGCGGTACCTTAGTTATTATTAATAAACGTAAATCAATTACCACCCGACACACTGGCAACACCCGGCTAAATTGTCAATTACCGCGTCAGGTGTTGCAAGTATGTTGTTGGCTTTACCATTCGTAGTTAAGTGACGGCGATATATTACGTTGAGAGTACACGATATAAAGACGTAAGGGCTGCTAGTATTAATACGAGTTCACTGTTCTTTACAATTTACGCGATAAAACATCAGATAACACAATATCTGAAATGTTCAACTTAAAATCATGTACATCCATTGACGTACTTATTAATTAGTAATTAACTATGTAAATTAATGAAGTGTAAAGGATAGTGAATGTAATATGAAGTGTGGTAGTTTAAATTGATTCGCAGCTAATGGCAGCTAGAGTTTAAAGTACCGCACGAGCGGACATTTCACATAATTAAATGATTGTTCGGTTGTATTTCGACACACTAATGCTATATTGGATAATACAAGTATTAAGCAACTGGCGAGTAAGTACTTAATTAATTTTAAATACATTGACATTCCATTGATTTCAATTATGATTGATTTAGTAACAATTTATTAAACTTAAAAATAGAAGTACTTAAATGTATGTGACGACTTCATAACATTCCATGAAATTTTATACAATTTACCAAATTACTATTGTAATAAGATCTTTTTCGTTAAGATTTGTTTCTAAGGTCAAATATTAATGTAGTTGTAACTAATTATACTTTATTGGTACTGAATCAATTGTTATTTATTTAAGTAAATGAAGTCGTAGCATTGTATTTCAGGATGGATGTATGAGCGAGTCACACACTCTGCCACGCTTCGGCTTATAGCATCTGTACCATTAGTGTTGCCAACCTAGAAAATAAAATATTACAGTCTTAGTTTTACTTTGACAATGTGGCAGAGTTTTGTTGGCTCGTAATTTGAAGGAATACGAATATTCAATTCATAAAAAAAGAATCTTTCCATTGCTGTGATCGTATTTTTTCAAACCATAATCCACCTATAGTATTCTATGTATTAAAAAAAGTTTATTTTATCATATGAAAGAATAAGTTTACAGTAAATTATTTATGTAGTGCCATAGGGTTTTATTAATTTAACGCAATATTATATGTTTATAATTTTATTTACACAAGATCTCTTGTTCAAGACGTCCATTTTATTATTTCCAATGTTTTATTATGTAAATTGAGATTATATTTAATTGATTTATTGACTTCAACTGTGCAATATTTACTTAATATGAATCACTAGCTACGTATAAAACTATTTATATATTTTCGATTCATTTTAAATTATTCTATATGCTTTTCCTTCGGTCATTCCAGTATTTAAAAGATTGGCACATTCCTATATTTTATTCCTGTGCTATTTTAATGGTGGTGGGTAAATAAGTACTTAATTTTGAATATTATAAATAAAAATAATTGACGTTGTTGTAATTAATTTTTGGTTTTTATTAAATGGTTATAGCGAATTATTTTGTTTCCTTTATTTTCCTTATACCGTTTTATTGCTATGATTTTAGTAGTTTGGAGTATTTTAGTTTTGATTTATATTATAAACGTTGTTTGTCATATCGCGTGCTACTTAGTGTGCAGCTGTAAATAATGGAAGTTATCAGTAAAGCATTATTGTTCTCGAGGAAATCTGGCAACTGTGCGAAAGTGCCAATACTGTAGTCATTTTCGCTAATTAAACTATGTCAATATAAAGTTAGGACGAGTTTAGGCTATACTAGTGTAATGTAATGCTAAATAAAGTTGTGTTACGGCCGAGCGACGTCACCGACACGTTACAAAGACATAGTTTTGTACGCATTCGTCGTGTAATGTTGTATCTAATATACAATCAATTATAAACTATATTTTTGCATCACTACGCCAGCACCGCTCCTTCCGTTCTGTGATTTAGGCTTAAATGCACCTAGACATACGAAAGTTTATATTCTTCTCGTCTTTTCCTAACTCTGTGCCAAAACTAAGATTAACGAAATGAGAGACAGATCAGTGATTATACTATACGAAATTATGTACTAATAGTTGATTCATAATTTGCTTCACTATACACAATACTCCCTCCTCAGCAAGGTTTGCCCCATAGATCGGTACCTACATTTAATTAATAATACTTATAGAAACAGAACTTCATGGTAAAGAGCGTTCTTCTAGTCTTAGATTAAAATGTTTTTCTATAAAATCTATAGTCGAATTATTCACGTAGCTATTAGATAATTGTACAAATGACTCTCGAACCCTTGAACTCACGTCCCTCTGTAGTTGTAGTGTACCCAGTTACACGTAGGTTGTACCTTCTATTTATTATATTATAGTCCCCTAGCTATCTATCGCTTATTGTAGACTATTATTTATTATAGCTGCAATTTAGACTATCGATTTAATTTGAGAGCTTTTATCTTTCCTCCACCTACGGTCGATCGATTCTGTTAAAGTTTAATCGACCATAATATTGCTTTGCTACCTACTAGTAACAATTAAACCACAAAATACTTGGTAAGAAATTACGCAATATTTAGAACAATTGATCTCGTCATTGGAAGTACCCTTTGGGTGTACCTAAGTACCTATCGACCTAAGTATAATGCATTTATATAAAAACTGTATGTGTGTAAGTGGTGATTGTGGTGAGGCATTGTTATGGTCCGATTTGCTCTAAATATAAGCCTACGGTTAAAAATCGTATGTGAATGTTAATGGAAACACTTTTCGAACTACTTGTACAGATAATAAATCTACCACAAACCCAGTGTGACCAACTTAAAAGCTCTAAATGTTACTATCCTGATATCCTCGACTATCACTCTATCCTTCACTGTGTAAACACGTCACACTCTAAAATATTTGGTTTTATCAAAGACACGCTACACGCAATTCTGTCCATTATTAATAAGATTAAATAGTTATAAGTAGTGAATGTTAAAATACTTAGAATAAAATAATACTTTAATTTGGTAAGCTAAGTACACCTTGTATGTAAATGATCACTGTCCATTTAATGTAAGCTATTTCATTAAGCATGGTAATTGTAAAAGACGCTAAAATGTTAAGAACTTAAGATTCCAATAAAACCCATAATTTTTATAGCATCTGCAAGTTTTCAGAATGCCCAACACAGGTGTTCATTCACTAATCACGCTTTACGCGAGTTTATCAACATTAATAGAATCCCTCCCGCCAGACATTAAGAATTAATTTAGAAATTCGTAAGCTTAAATGATTAAAAACAAACATGGCTTGTATTTCAAAAATAATACAGATACATACCGCACCCATGATTTACCTACCTACTGCCTTCGCTCTTTGAAATGAATCGCCTAAAGTCATAAACTCAATATACCTACCTTAAAATAAAAAAAAAACTTGTTGAAACGATAGCATAATGAATAGTCTTTTAGTACTTACTTATAGTACTTAACTGTAGTTTCGCAGTAGGCTTAGTTTGATGACAGCGGTCAGCATTTTTATTATGAATAGATAAACTTTATTATTTTGTAAGTAAATCAAGTCCTACTGACCACGTTTCCAGCTTCAGCTTGCTTCAATTATCTCCTTAATAGTCCAGCCTTTGAAATTAATTATTGGTAAAAATAAGTTTTAGGAAATTATGTTTTAGCGTATCAGACGCAATTTGTTGTAGAAATATATGAAAACTCATTATTTATTATAATGTTATCTACGTAACAAATACGCTACTATGTATTTATTTTCAATTGAAGTTTTGTTAGAAAACGTATTGTCAAAAGTATTTTATTTAAATTTCCCGCCCTGGACCAATGGTCACAGATAGTAAATCTAACATAGATTATAGATTCGTTATACATGTTTAAAATTGTTATTATTATTACTTCTTAATGTTTCACGATCCATAAATTATTGTATAATTACGTAAATAAAATGCACAGCTTTTTCAAATATCCACTGACTAAGGTGATTAAATGTTTAACTGTTGTTTATAATATTTAAGTACTTATAAATTTGTTGTGCAGGAATATTGGTTTGCATGACATGTGTTCTTTCAATACTTTACACATTAGGGCAATAAAGCCCTGGAATGAATTATTGTTATGCTAAGTATATGGTGCGTTTGTATGTAATGAAATGATCTTGAGTAACGAATAAATTGCATTGAATAAATGGTTTGTTATTTATCAATTTCCTGAATTTAATGGCGTGCGTTCGTGCAGCGGAATGTTGTTGAATTTAAAGATTTTAATTATGCAGATATTTAGTGTATGACGTCGCATAATTGTGTATGGTACAAAAAAAATTGTGCACGCAACCATTGTGGAGAAATTCACCAAAAACTGATTCCGCTGGGCGAACGTTGTCCTGTCGGATCTTTTTTTAATCCATAGACTTTAGAAGAAAAGAGATGTATCCAAAAATTAGTGTGTATTTGTGTGTAATTGTGTATGTATGAATAAAACTAGTGCATGCATAAACTTCGGAGAAATTCAAGTTTCCGCTACACGAACGTTTGGCCATTAGCTAGTTTTCATATACAGCGCTTACATAGAGAGCTGTAGATTTTTACATACGTTGTTTTGAATTTGTTTATATTTGTTTAAAAAACAGATTCAGAAAAAATCGTAGGGTTTGCACGCCACGATCCCTAACGTTCGGGTCTGGTTCAGGGTCGGCAACGAGCTACCCTTGCTCGCCGTCCTACCAGAGCCAGACCGAGTAAAAGACCTAAATCCCAATTTTTGAACCAACCCAAGTTTAATTACTTGCTTTCAGTTTTTATTTTTAATAGATCTGCGGTACAATGATCCTGTAAGAGGGAGCTTTCTATCCAGTGCCGGATTAAGCCAGCGCGGGACCTGTAGCAAATTCTGTCAAGGGGCCCTTGGTTTGCTATCGGTTCTCTAAAGGGTATTAAATAAAACAAAACTGTTACAAATAAACTTTTCTGGATTTATTATGGGCAAATTTAGCGATTAGGTACACTTTCAATATGCAAGTCATGCTCTACACTTATTCAACAATGTGAGATGATTAAGACGTTCTTGGCCCATAGGTACTGTTCCTTAATTCATTTTTAAGTTCGTTTCAACGTTGAAAAATAACGTTCGCCACTGCAGTTAGTGATCATGAGAGATAAGTAAATACGCAAGGCAATTTCTAAATTTGGGAAATACGATTCTAAAGAATTATTTAATAAAAGTTTATAAAATTGCAGTTCCAGAGGCTCCTGTTTCTTGCTGTCAATTACAGTAGCCACATCTGTTCAGCAGCTCTGCGAACGGCACTAATTCACCACCTAGGCTGTTCTCCAAATCATCTTCGTAAGCACTGACCATCCTTGATGATTTTTCCAAAATCTCTTCTGTTGTAAGAGATTTTATCTGTCGAAATACTTCAAAACCACTAGTACATTTATGAGGACACGGCGCTGCTCCTCCCAAGCTACACACTCGGCGAGCGTGTGTTGCGCCGTGTCCTCCCCGCAGTGGACGCAGTGGTGGCACCGAGCGTCCGGCTCCCTACCTATGCGGCACAGGTACTTTCCGAAGCACCCGTGCCCCGACAGCATCTGCGTCACCCTAAACGACAAGGAGCCGTGTCTTCTTCCAAGCCATTCACCGAGTACTGGCCGGATCGCCTCGACGGTAGTGAGGCCGGTGGTAGGGCGCAGAAGCCTTTGCCGCCATTCCGCCACCAGGACTTGACGGAGCTCCTCTCGGCGCAGCGCGATCTGCCGCTGCATCGGTATTGAGCCCCGAGTTCGCTCTTCCTCGCGCCATCGATGTAATGACGCGAGTACTTTCGCCTCTAGGTCCCAGGGCGGGGATCCGGCAAGTACGCAAGCCGCCTCGTAGGAAATCGTGCGGTACCCACGGACGACTCTGACGGCCATCGCCCTCTGGGGTTTACGCAGAATGGCGAGAGTGCTGGACGTCACGTCTAGCGCCCATACAGGGCCATGGACCGCACGATTCACTGTACGGTGTTCACCTTACACCTTGTTAATTATTGTTAAAATGTTATGAGTACTGCGCCGCGACTTTAGTTAGGGATTTGATTAAGTAAAACGATGTTTACTGTTTCACGGGTTTATTTGTACTAAAGTAAATTATTGCTAAGTAGAGCGCGATGCACAGCATAGTAAGTGCAACGTCAGCATTAATACTAAACAAGACAAAATGTACGGGGTTGCTCGTACACCCACCCATAACCGCCTACAAGCGGCGCTCGGGCCCCCCAGGTTGGGAAGCAACGTTGAACAAGCCCCCGCTGCGCCCATCAGCTTAGGCGCCAGCCGCCGGAAATGGGGTCCGGAATCCCATCGGCTATCGAGCACCAATCCTAGATACTTCATGGTGGACTCGACAGCTATCCGAGCCCCGCTGACCACGATGTGAGATCCCGGCGCCGGCGCACGTCGAGGGCCATGAAACACCATGGCCTCCGACTTGTTCAAGGCCCAGGCGCCGGATAATTATAAAACCTAACCGAACCTAAACATATTTTGAGAAACATATATTATAGGTACCTAAGTACTTGAATAAATTTAATTTGAAATTTAAGTACTATTTTTATTAACTTATAGTTCCGAATTCTTGCAGGTAAAGTCACCGTCATTATTTTGTTTTTTCTTCTGATTGTTAAAATGTTAGTGAACGAACTCTTGTTCTGAGACGACAGTAGCTCTATCTGTAAAATAATTAAAATATTTGATTATTGAGGTGGTCAATTCTCAACATTACAACTGAAACAATTAACTATTTATTTGATCGAGGACATTTGATCGAGGCTAAAATTTTCTGTCTCCTGATAAAATAAAAAATATTAAAATTCCCCCGACCCCAAAAACGTACGCAATTATTATGCGAAAAGGTTGAAATGCTAAGCCCTATAAAAAGCACAAAACTTAGTACTAACATATGACCTGATGACCTTGAAGACCTAAACAGATTTCCACCAAACATGGTTAAGAACACTCTCGACTGATGTAGTTGTGTGTGACTCTTCTCCCCATAAGTAGTTTTTTTTTGTCAGGTGAAAATCATCAAATGTCTTCACCGGCCCAGGGTAAAGCGTGAGGGAGTGTTAGACTCTTACTGACTAAAAACCTCCCCGTCCCTTCTGCTGCTCTGGGCCGAGGCCGCGGTGACTAATTGCGCTTAAAACACAACCCCGGCTGAATATCAGCCCTATAGGGCCCCGTCTGTAGTGGTCTATTGGCTCTTTGAGGCGCGTGTGGAACGCTACGTGCCGATCGCTCGCGTCTGGTCCTGGTCGGGCGGCGTTCGCCTCAGGTTTAGTGATATAATTAATTTCCCATCTAAAAAAACAAAAATCAGGAAGAACAAAAAATCATACACACCATTAATAGAAGACCGCTTTCTTTTTCTACATAAAACTAAGCTGAAAGTAAGCAGCAACAAGCTGCTTGTTCCACCAGCCGCGGCATACACCCATTTGGTTTGACTTTGATGTATCTCACACGAGCCATTGACGATACTGCAGCGTGGTACACAAGTATTGTTCTCTGCTGCTTCATACCCAGTGAGGCATTCACAGATGTCAGGACCGATGCATTTCGCGTGCACGCAGGGTTCTCTGCACACCGGCTGGCATGTTCCGTTACTCGTCTCCGATGTTTCCCATCCTGCGTTGCAAAGACAAGTGTCAGGGTCGGTGCACACACCATTCCTGCACCCATTGGAACATCGCGGTCGGCAGACATTCTCCTTAACAGATTTCTCATAGCCGTAATAACATTCACATCTACCAGGAGCTGTACAAGAGCCATTGACACAAGGTGGACTGCACTCCGGCTTCTCTCCGGTACAAGTCTTATTCTTTGTGATGTTGTGTTTTGAGCACGAAGGTTTACATATTTTCTCAGTACTATCTTCCGGATGAACCAGTTCCCAACCTGCATCACATTTACAAGTTTCGGGGCTGATACAGGTACCGTGCGGGCATCCACTTGAGCAGAAGGGCTTGCAATTGTGCTGATTGGATTTTATATATCCTTTTAAACATTGGCAGGTATCTGGAGCTGCACATGTGCCATTCACGCAGGGTTCCAAACAAATCGGCTGGCATATTTTCTCAGTTCTATCTTTTGGTTGAGCGAGTTGATAGCCAGCATCGCATTTACAAGTTTCTGGAGCGATACAGGTCCCATGAGAACACCCACTTGAGCAGACAGGCTTACAACTGAATTCATCGGCAGATTCTTTTATGAATCCTTTCATACACTTACAGGTGTCTGGAGCTACACAGGTGCCATTCTTGCATGGTTTGGAACATATTGGTTCGCAGGTTCTATTGAAGAACCTATATCCTTTATTGCACTTACATTGATCTGGTGCGATACAAGTGCCTTTCCCACACGGCTTTGAACATCGTGGTAAGCAATTGTACTTATTTTTGAGATCCAAAATGAATCCAGCTTTGCATGCACATACTTCAGGGTTGCGACAGTATCCGTTGATGCAGGGTTTTTAGCACGAAGGTTTACATATTTTCTCAGAACTATCTTCCGGATGAACCAGTTCCCAACCTGCATCACATTTACAAGTTTCGGGGCTGATACAGGTACCGTGCGGGCATCCACTTGAGCAGAAGGGCTTGCAATTATACTGATTAGATTTTATATATCCTTTTAAACATTGGCAGGTATCTGGAGCTGCACATGTGCCATTCACGCAGGGTTCCAAACAAATCGGCTGACATGTTTTTGTCAAATTGCCATCCAGCTGAATCATTTGCCATCCTGAGTTGCACGTACAAATTTCTGGACCAATACAAGTACCATTGGGGCATCCACTAGAGCAGAAGGGCTTGCAGGCGTACTTGTCAGATTCGATATATCCTTTTAAACATTGACAGGTTTCTGGGGCTACACAAGCGCCATTCACGCAGGGTTCTGAACAAATCGGTTGGCATATTTTCTCAGTACTGTCTTCCGGATAAACCAGTTCCCAACCTGCATCACATATACAAGTTTCGGGGCTGATACAGGTACCGTGCGGGCATCCACTTGAGCAGAAGGGCTTGCAATTGTACTGATTGGATTTTATATATCCTTTTAAACATTGGCAGGTATCTGGAGCTGCACATGTGCCATTCACGCAGGGTTCCAAACAAATCGGCTGACATGTTTTTGTCAAATTGCCATCCAGCTGAATCATTTGCCATCCTGAGTTGCACGTACAAATTTCTGGACCAATACAAGTACCATTGGGGCATCCACTAGAGCAGAAGGGCTTGCAGGCGTACTTGTCAGATTCGATATATCCTTTAAAACATTGACAGGTTTCTGGGGCTACACAAGCGCCATTCACGCAGGGTTCTGAACAAATCGGTTGGCATATTTTCTCAGTACTGTCTTCCGGATAAACCAGTTCCCAACCTGCATCACATATACAAGTTTCGGGGCTAATACAGGTACCGTGCGGGCATCCACTTGAGCAGAAGGGCTTGCAATTGTACTGATTGGATTTTATATATCCTTTTAAACATTGGCAGGTATCTGGAGCTGCACATGTGCCATTTACGCAGGGTTCGAAACAAATCGGCTGGCATATTTTCTCAGTTCTATCTTTTGGTTGAGCGAGTTGATAGCCAGCATCGCATTTACAAGTTTCTGGAGCGATACAGGTCCCATGAGAACACCCACTTGAGCAGACAGGCTTACAACTGAATTCATCGGCAGATTCTTCTATGAATCCTTTCATACACTTACAGGTGTCTGGAGCTACACAGGTGCCATTCTTGCATGGTTTGGAACATATTGGTTCGCAGGTTCTATTGAAGAACCTATATCCTTTATTGCACTTACATTGTTCTGGTGCGATACAAGTGCCTCCCCCACACGGCTTTGAACATCGTGGTAAGCAATTGTACTTATTTTTGAGATCCAAAATGAATCCAGCTTTGCATGCACATACTTCAGGGTTGCGACAGTATCCGTTGATGCAGGGTTTTGAGCACGAAGGTTTACATATTTTCTCAGTACTCAGTTCCCAACCTGCAGCACATTTACAAGTTTCGGGGCTGATACAGGTACCGTGCGGGCATCCACTTGAGCAGAAAGGCTTGCAATTATACTGATTAGATTTTATATATCCTTTTAAACATTGGCAGGTATCTGGAGCTAAACATGTGCCATTCACGCAGGGTTCTGAACAAATCGGTTGGCATGTTTTCTCAGTTCTATCTTTTGGTTGAGCTAGTTGATAGCCAGCATCACATTTACAAGTTTCTGGAGCGATACAGGTCCCATGAGAACACCCACTTGAGCAGACAGGCTTACAACTGAATTCATTAGCAGATTCTTTTATGAATCCTTTCATACACCTACAGGTGTCTGGAGCTACACAGGTGCCATTCTTGCATGGTTTGGAACATATTGGTTCGCAGGTTCTATTGAAGAACCTATATCCTTTATTGCACTTACATTGTTCTGGTGCGATACAAGTGCCTCCCCCACACGGCTTTGAACATCGTGGTAAGCAATTGTACTTATTTTTGAGATCCAAAATGAATCCAGCTTTGCATGCACATACTTCAGGGTTGCGACAGTATCCGTTGATGCAGGGTTTTGAGCACGAAGGTTTACAAATTAGTCTGAAAGCGAAAAAGGTGATGTGATTGTATTTTGTTGAACTTATAAATCATTATCATAATATAAATTACTTGTTTGTTATACTACAATAGGTAGTTTACCTAGTGTATTATGCATTGTTTTTTTGTTATGTGATAGGACCGATTACCTGATGGTAAGCAATCAGCGCCGCCCATGGACACTCGCAACAACAGAGCACTTACAAGTTCTAGGGATTTAGGGATTGGGGAAGGATTGGGCTTCCGGTAACCTCACTCACATGGTGAAACAAACATAACGCTGTGGTTGTTGCACGCTGGTTTTCTTTGAGGCCGTGGTATCATTCCGGTCGAGCTGACACCTTCGTGCCGAAACATGGCTGTCCCACATTTAAACTTTTTTCTCTTTCTTCTTTTTTATTATAATTATTATACCTACATCTCTCTCTAAAAATATTTTAACAAATAATCATTTCAAAGTCAAAGTCAAAAATCATTTATTTCAATTAGACCACAGTAGGCACTTTTAAACGTCAAGCAAGCAAAAAAGGAAAAAAAGTATATATAACAAGAGCTTTAAAATTAAGCGTGTCAGTCTGTCCGTCTGTCCTCTAGTGAAGCTATTTGCTCGTTCCAAAGTGTAGATTCCTATGGAGAAGAACGAGCAAGAAACTCCATGGTTACTCTTTTTCAATCAGTTTTACAATACATTTCTTTGTTACATCATTTAGTCGGTTCTGATATGTGAGAACAATGTAACACTAATGTTCAGGCAAAAAGTACGAAAAAGAAGTGAACCTCAAGGACAACATATTTAGACAGCCTGGAGATGACCAGTCCCAATAGGCGGCGCCCGTTCACGAACATGACACGTACACCAGCACCGCCCAACTCAACCATATTATAGGAAATTGGACGATCCAGTGCCCGTGCCACCGCCAATGAGACCTCTGAGTGAGCATGACAGCTCCCAGCCGACACAAGTACCTATATTCTACAAGTCTTGCTTAATTATAATAGGTTACAGGGCACTCACATTTACAAAATCTTAGAAGTTCATCAACAATTAACAACATAGTGTACAATTGAATAATTAAAAAAAAAAAAAAAATACTCTAAACATCCTGTGGAGTAGGACCAGCTAGCCTCCAAGCATTTTTATCTTGTATATAATCATTTAGTTTGTAGTATGCTAGTTTACATAAATGTTTCTTTATACATAATTTAAATTTGCTTTCATTTAAATTTTGAATTTCAACTGGGATTTTATTATAACATTTAACACAGAAACCCAGGAATGACTTATGCACTTTTGCCAATCTAAATAAAGGCTGACTCAATCTATTCCTATGTCTAGTATGATAATCATGTTTGTCAGATACCTTTACAAATAAGTGTAGGTTTTTCCTAACATACATAATGTTTTCATAAATAAATTGACTCGGTTTAGTATTTAGTTTTACACTTACGTTGGCTTTTTTTTTTGTACGACGTATCCTTTACAGCGTTCTTTCCTTGATTCTGTATATGTATGCTGAAAATAAAAAGAAATTTAATGTAAGTAACAATTGCACGTTTTTCGCTACTTATTGGAAGCATACACACTGTTTAACAGTAGGACTACCATGCGAGAAACAGGGATGGAGCTATGAAAGGTGTATAGCTCCATCGCTCTTTCTCGCCCAAATAATTGAAATATTACAAAATTAAAATTAATACTGAGCTGTTATACAATGTGTTATGTTATACAGTGTGTTATGTTAAAATGAGGGACATATTCAAGTAGCCGATTTACAAACGGGCTTACCAGATTACCTGATGGTACGCAATCAGCGCCGCCCATGGACACCCGCAACAGGAATAACGAATGCGTTGCCGACCTTTTTAAGGGATTTGGAGATATAGGGATTGAGGGGGGGGGGGGGAAGGATTGGGCCTCCTGTAACCTCAGTCACACGGCGAAACACAACGCTGTGTTTGTGTTCTCTGTCTCTGTCTCTCTGTTGTTTCACGCCGGTTTTTTGTGAGGCCGTTGTATCACTCCGGACGAGCCGACCCATTCGTGCCGAAGCACACTCTCTCCCACACTTAAAAACCGATTTGGTTGAAAATTGGTAAGGAGGTAGCTAAGAACTGGGAGAAGGACATAGGATAGGATAGAGTAGGTGGATGTCGCAGAAGGAAGCTGCGGAACGGGAGAGGGAGATCTCCACTCCCTTCCCAGGCCGCAGAAGACGCACCGGGCGCAGAAGAAGGGCGGATAACGCCCTCTTCCGCCCCCCATGAATGGGTCCAGAGGCGACGGACTTGGGGAAGTCCCCGCCCCCTATCCGATGGACCCGAGGCGAAGGCGCGCGCGGTGTCTACGCGCGCCTCTAAGAGGATGCACGGGGTAGTCGAACACCTCACTACCCCGTGCTAGAGACGAGGCCCGGACAGACCGGGCCAGCACTAGTGTGGGGCTGCGGAAGAATGTGGATTCCCGCGGCCCCGCGCGCACGTGCGAGGAGACACCGAGGTGGTTTTAGCCGGTAAGAGTCCGGCACGCCCCTCCGCCTCTCCCCAGGCGGAGGAAGTCCATGAGGATTTCCCCCCGTTAAAAAAAAAAGGATAGAGTAGGTAGGTTAGGTAAGGAAGAAAAAGGGGAAGAAATCGGCTACTAAAGCCCCTACAGTCAAGCCTGCAGTCTTAATGGAGAAAAGGAAGAAAATCCCCCTTCCTCCAAAAACCGCAGCCGTGGTGGTCACGCTGACCCCAGAGGCAGCCGAGCGAGGTGAGACGTACGAGTCCGTACTGCGGCGGGCTCGTACTAATGTGCAGGGTCAACTGCACAACTCGGGGCGGGTCGGGTCACGTGCCGAAAGACCCAAACGGGGGCTCGTATTTTTGAGTTTTCAGGGGCTTAAGGCGGAACTAAGGCGGATCTCTTTGCCTCGAAAATTAGAGAGGTTGTCGCGGACACGGCCAGGGTCATGAGGCCGGTCAAATGTGTCGCACTTGAGGTGACCGATCTCGACGACTCGGTCACGCAAGAAGAGGTGGTCGCCGCGGTTACGGCGGCGGGAGGCTGCGCCGTCGACGGTAAAGGGTCGTGCCATTAGACCAGGCCGTGGGGGTATGGGCACCATGCGTCTGAAGTGCCCTATCGCGAGTGCCAAGGCGGTCCTCGCCAAGGGTCGCCTGCCAGTGGGGCTTAGCTCTGGTGGTGTCCGAATGCTTGAGGACGAGCCGATGCGCTATTTTAAGTGCTTCGGGATCGGTCACACCCGGGCTCTCTGTCCGTCGTCTGCCGAGCGCAAGGAGCTCTGTTTCCGCTGCGGCAAAGAGGGGCACAGGTCGGCCATCTGCAATGCTACCACTCCACATTGCGTCGTATGTGCTGCCAATGGTCGTCCAGCGGTCCATGTCATGACGAGCAGGAAATGCCGTCCGCCACTGAAGAAGGGCAAAGTGCAGGCGCCGGTGCGACCTGCCACTGCTGTCGCCGCCACTGAAGCCCCAGTTCCAGTGCCGGCCTCCGAGAGAAGTGCCATGAACACCGAATAATGGCTGGACATCATCAACGTGTTCTTCAGGCGAACACCAACCACTGCAGAGCGGCCCAGGACCTGCTGGTCCAAACCTTTGCGGAGTGGTTGGTGGACGTGGCGGTTGTCGCCGAGCCGTACTCTGTCCCTGGCAACTGGCTGGGTGACGATAACGGTTCGGTGGCATTGGTAACGCGGTCTTCTACGGACTCCCCACCCCTCTCACTCTTAGAGAGGGGACCGGGATACGTGGCGGCCGCGTGGGGAGAGATAGCTCTTGTGGGGGTGAAATTTCTCCCCAAACCGCCCTCTATCGGAGTTTGAGCACTACCTCGACGGTCTCACCAGGGTGGCCAAGTCGGTGACATGGGGCAACCCGACCACCGATGCACGAGGACGCGAGGTGGAGACCTGGTCCGTCTCATCCAGACTGTCCCTTCTAAACAGAGGCACAGTCCACACCTGCGTGCGGCGGGAGGGGGGCTCCATCGTGGACCTCGCCTTTGCCTCCCCATCTTTGGCGGTCTGCGTTGTAGACTGGCGGGTGGTGCGGGTGGACACTTTGTCTGACCACCGATATGTGCGGTTCGACATCTCCACCCAGAGCTCTCCTAGGGCGCGCGAGGGTCGGTCGCATTTCCCGCGGTGGGCGCTTACCCGCCCGGACCCGGAAGTTGCAGCGGAGGCGGCGTTCGTCCAGGACTGGCTGTCGCCTCTTGCCGACGTCCACGATGTAGATGCCACGGCAGTCCAGTTGAGGGCTCCCTGACCGAGGTTTGCAACTCTAGCATGCCTCGGTCTCACCGTCGGCCTCCCCGACGTGCGGTTTACTGGTGGTCGGAGGAGCTGACACAGCTGCGGGCCGCCTGTGTGGTAGCCAGGCGGGCCTATACCAGGAGCCGGCGGCGGCGTAACCGCGACCTCGAAAACGAGGACCGCCTCTACGCGGCGTACGTGGAGGCAAAGAGGGAGCTGACGGCCCGAATGGGCGCAGCAAAGGATCGCGCGAGAGAGGAGATGGCCGAGGGCCTAGACGCTGATCCCTTTGGCAGGCCGTACAGGGCGGCGCGCAACAAACTGCGCCCGTACGGCCCCCCAGTGTCCGAGACCCTCGAGCCGTCGTTGCTGGAGGAGGTGGTCCAGTCCCTGTTTCCGCGCAGGGACAGCAATTTCGCTCCGCCTGTGATGAGCGCCCCACGGGTTATGGCTCCATCGGTCGAGGAGGAGGTCGCTCCAGTGACGGTTGACGAGTTGGAGAGGGCAGCGTTCTGCCTCCGGGGGAAGAAGACGGCCCCAGGTCCGGACGGCGTCCCCGCAAAGGTGGTGGCCATCGCCGCCTCCCAGATGGGGGAAAGATTTCGGGACCTCTTCAGTGGGTGTCTGACGCGTGAAAGGTTCCCGAAGCCATGAAAGGAGGGCCAATTGTGCCTTCTTCGGAAGGAAGGGCGGCCGGTTGACTCCCCATCGGCATACCGACCCATCGTCTTGCTGGATGAGGTCGAGATAAAACCTAACAAGCACTTGTGCACGATTGGCCCGGACCTGTCGGACGCTCAGTTCGGCTTTCGAGCTGAACGCTCGACAGTCGACGCCCTGTCGCGACTCAAGGGGCAGGCGAGGGAGGCGATGGATGCGGTGGATGGATTGTTGGCTGTGTCATTCGACATATCCAACGCCTTCAACTCCATTCTCCACTCCACCATTGTTGAGGCGCTCCGCTTTCACGGGGTGCCTCCTTATTTGCGGGGTCTCTTGGCGGACTACCTGAGGGACCGCACTGTCCTTCTGGTGGACAAGTCTGGCCAGCTGCGAAGGTACCGCGTCGAGTCCGGTGTTCCGCAGGGCTCTGTTCTAGGACCACTCC